TTAATACTTGCGCCGGGTATTTAATGTTCGGCTCCGCCCGAACTTAGACTTTCTTACTTGTTATTTTATTCTTTATTTAATTTTTATCTACTACTTTTAATTGTCAAATACATTAACTAAAACAAAAACACTTATGATAAAGTAAATTAAGGTGTTCTACAACAAAGTGTGTAAATACAAAAGTATGTGGTACATTAGAAAATATAATAACATAAATCGCGAACACTAAAAAAATATCCCGTCATGGTCGCTGAATGAGGTCTCATATGTTATCGCCCTTGTTCTGTCTGCAGAAAAACTTGCCAATAACCAATCAATCGCGGTTTGTTGCTTTGTATTAGGAAGATGTTCCAGTAAGGAATACAATCCTAGTTGGCTTAAGCGCGTTCCAAGAACATCATTTGACGTAATGCGACAGACATTTAAGTATCCTACAACTATTAATTCTTCATTATTTCTATTACTCAGCTCTTTTATATCTTCTTCCAATATTCTTCTAAATGCTGATAATGAAAAAGATGGATTTCTGTATACTACAGATGCTTTCCATTTCCAGACAACCGGTCAGGTACGAGCATGATTTTTAATTTCCACCAAACTCAAATACATTGTTTGTTGGTCCAAATAATGAGACACGTATTTTTTCTTTTGGCTCGGAAAAATTTTTCGGCCGAATTAAACGCGATTTTGTTTTTCAGGCAAAAATCGATTATTCGAATTGACAGTGAGAATGTTTTTTTAAAATGCCCATAACTTTGTCAAAATTTAATAGATTCCAACAATGTTTTTACTCAAATGTCAGTAATTCTTGTCACTTCAAGATAGAATGATATAATTATTGATTTTCATTATTTAAAATTTTTTATTTATTAATTAACAAAAAGTGTATATTTTTTTTAAATTTAATTTCTCAAAAAGTGTATTTTTTTTCTCTCAAACTTTTTTACCGAGAAAGAGACACTTTGAACTACAATCAACCTAAATCTGTATTAACGAAGTTTTTTTTCTGAGTTATGATTTTTTATAGAAAATATACG